CCCCCCCCCCCCAGACCCAGACACTCCCCCCTCCCCCTAACCTAACCTCTCTCCCCTCCCCCAGAGCCACAAAACAGTTACAGATAGAGTCTGCAGAACTGGAATTCATCCTCAAATATGAAACTGTTAGCCTGGGCTTGAATAAATACATTAACTGCACACATTACAAAGCCAATTTCTCCTGCCTCTAACATCACATTTCCACATCAAAAGCTATGAATGGGACACATCCAGCCCATTTAATTAGCCTCATTAACACAAGTCCTACAATTGACATATATATATCTTGTTTTCTATTATTTCCACTCATGATGAAGTAGGTTTTGCCCATGAAAGCTGAAGATTATATGTTTTGGTTAGTCTCTAAGGTGCCACAGGACTACTTCATATTAAAATGACAGACTAATACGGCTACCCCTCTGAGACTGTATTAAACAATGAGCCATATCTGTTACTGCTGATGTAATAAATTCTGAAAGTGACAGGAATTTAAATTTTTTTTATGATGCTGAAGTTGTTTCTCAGTTTTGTTTTTGTCCCATTAATCAGATAACTTGATATTATTTTGGATGCTTAAATCACATAATTAAAGTGTAATTGATGGTTCTGAATCTGAGGCAAATTACATGATGAAAGAGAATTCTCCCTGGAGAGGTCATAAATCAGAGGGATTATGCCTGCAGAATTCCATTAGATTCAGTATGCTTTTAAAAGAAAAAAAAGCAAATGGTTCCTTTACCAGGTGTTTTTTTTTAGTTGACCTGAATGTCTTAGGAACAGTAGTTTGTGGAAGAATGCAAAAATCTCTACATTTATTTAAAATTAACTGAGATTTGACTATTCAAACTTCATACTTGTGTAATACCTTCTATTCAAGATTTCAAAGCACTTCACAGTCATGGAGTTTAACCTCATGAGCCCCCATGATAGCAATAAGTAGTATCTCCATTTTACAGATGGGGAAACTGAGACAGAGAGTGAGGTTAAGCAACTTGGTGAAATTAGGTAGAAAGTCTGTCTCAGAATTCAGAATAGAAAATGTTTCTTCAGACACACAATCATATGCTTTTCTTAATCATGCCAATAAAAAACACTCAGCTTTATTGTTCCAGTAGCTAGTTTTCCCTTTAAGGACTATATGGACACAATTCTGATCCCCCCTCATACACACACACCTTTCTTCAGTTAGCTGAGTTCATATGTCAGTAATCAGTGAGGTTTTTTAATCCTAGTTTAATTTCAATTAGACCTATATATATTCATGTTGTAGCATATCCTTAGCATTTAGAAGACCGATCCATACATGGAGAATGGCCATAATAACCATTCTGATTCACAATCAGTTTATTCCTGTAATATTTCACATTCATTAGAGGCAAGTATGATTTTTCTACCCGAGTATGGTAGTTCCTTTTTAAAAGGATAGAAGTCATTAGCAGATTTTCAAAGTTTCTTACATTGCAGAGCTGATAACCAGACTTGCTTCAGGAAACCAGTTTATTTCAGTGAACACTTTTACAACCTGTTGAAGCTGTAGTCACACTAGCAATTTGCTCTCCATTCACAAGAATTAAATGGAAATTCTGATAATTCCACAGACATTTCCATGTTGCAGTATTGGTTCACTGGTAATGATCCCAGTAAGCCACGCTTCCTCTAATCTTTTTGGCTTCTACAGATTTTGTACAACATGATTATTGACTCACATGAATATAAATTCAATTTTACTTGGTCTCATCAATTTTATCACTCTTTTAAATGTCACAAGCCATTCATATTTGACTAATCATTCAGGATAAATTCATACCCATAAATGATATGGTTCCCTATCAAACTTCTGAGAGCCTTTTAAAAATCGTTGTATTTTGTGGCATACCATTGCCTGTGCCTATGTGAGAAAGGTACAAAACTGATACAATGTAATTGTACACATTGACATATGCATTAGTAAGCAGAAATGTGTGTGCGTGTATGATCTGTTTCATACTGTGGCACCCCAGGAGAATCATGCACAGGGTATGAAGTACACCTTTTTAATTAATTAATTAATTCTTTTTTATAGGCCATATCTTAACTCACTAAAAACTTCACAAAATAGCATAAAAACTAACAATATTTAAATTTAATCTTCCTCCATCATACCTAGCCTCTTTGGCGTGAAGGTTAAATAGATTCTATAACTGACCCTATCCCACTGGTACTAAAAAAACTCCTTTTCTGTACCCACCCACTATCCAAATTCCCAGCAAAATGTTTTGCTTAGCTTTGTTCATGTATAAAGTCCCTGTAGTTGAAATCTTAGTCTTCTATCTTGAAATGAGCACTGTGATGTTTGCTAGGTAAGAGATTGAAGTCCAGCATTTCCATGGCAGCATTCTTGGAAATGCTTCCAGTTTCACATACATAGCCTGTTCGAGAGGCAGAACTGCAGGGACTCAATGTGTTGATGAGACAATGACGGGCAGAAGAGGGATTTAGGTTTATTAGGGACTGGGGAAACTTTTGGGAAAGGAGAAGCCTTTACAGGATGGTTCCAGTCCACCTAAATGAAATGGTCTGAGGTAAACAGTAAGAAGTTCAGTAAGAACAAATGCAAAGTACTCCATTTAGGGAGGAACAATCAGTTTCACACATACAAAATGGGAAGTGACTGTCTATGAAGGAAAACAGCAGAGGACATAGTGGACCACAAGCTAAATATGAGTCAACAGAGTGACACTGTTGCAAAAACAGCAAATATTCTGGGTTGCATTAAATGGGGTATTGTAAGCAAGACACGAGAAGTAATTTTTCTGATTTACTCTGCACTGATTAGACCTCAACTGTAGTATAGTGACCAGTTCTGGGCACCACATTTTTTCAGGAAAGATGTGGAGAAATTGGAAAAGATCCAGAGAATGGCAACAAAAATTAAAGTTCTGGAAAACATGACGTATGAGGGAAGACTGAAAGAATTGGGTTTGTATAATTTGGAAAAGAGAAGACTGAGAGGAAATACTGTAGGGCTGTGTCTAGACTGGCAAGTTTTTCTGGAAAATCAGCAGCTTTTCTGGAAAAACTTGCCAGCTGTTTACACTGGCCACTTGAATTTCCGGAAAAGCACTGACGATCTCATGTAAAATCATCAGTGCTTTTCCGGAAAAAGTATGCTGCTCCCGTCTGGGCAAAAGTCTTTTTCTGAAAGACTTTTGCGCAAAAGGGCCAGTGTAGACAGCATAGTACTGTTTTCCGCAAAAAAGCCCCGATCGCGAAAAAGGCGATCGGGGCTTTTTTGTAGAAAACCGCGTCTAGATTGGTCACGGACGCTTTTCCGCAAAAAGTGCTTTTGCGGAAAAGCATCCTGCCAATCTAGATGTGCTTTTCCGAAAATGCTTTTAACGGGAAAACTTTTCCGTTAAAAGCATTTTCGGAAATTCATGCCAGTGTAGACGTAGTCTAACAGTTTTCAAGTACCTAAAAAGGTGTTACAAGGAGGAGGGAGAAAAATTGCACCAAGGAAGGTTTAGGATGGATATTAGAAAAAGCTTCCTAATTGTCAGGGTGGTTAAGCACTGGAATAAATTGAATAGGGAGGTTGTGGAAACTCCATCTTTGGAGATATTTAAGAGCAGCTAAGATAAACATCTGTCAGGGATGATCTAGATGGTGGTTGGCCCTGCCATGAGGGCAGGGGACAGGACTTGATGATCTTTCAGTGTCCCTTCCAATTCTAGTATTCTCTGATTCCATGATCAACCAAAATGGAACCAGATTGCTCTCACGTAAAAAAGGTTATGTAGGAGTTTTTAAACTAAAGGCTGAGGAAAAGCCAATGGGTATAGAGGAGCACATGATTCAGATAGACACATTCCTCTGGGGAGGATTTATTAAAGAGGATACTCTATATCCTAGCAAAGAAGAATGGCTAGAAGTTGATACAGTACAGGCAGGGACTGAGGCCAGACAGCTAAATATTGACAAATGCTATAAATGCTAGTACATAAACATAAAAAATCTAAATGCTAAGATGGTGAACTTGAGTGTCTGGTATTAAATGAGGATATTGACATATTAGACACCACACAAACTTGATAGAATGATGGTAATCTACCATATATACAGGAATGTGACTAATGTGTAAGAATTTGCATTCCACATGGCTTGAGGAGAGGTGACTGTGTTGGGAAAAGGGGTATAGCTAGTCCTAAACTACCTGCCATATTTATTGCAATTATCCAAAAGTGCAGATTTACAAATTTGTTTGGGATACTTACCTGCCCTGGTACAATATTTATTCACCCACCATAGATCAACCATGCACTACAATGCAATCTCCCCTCATAGAGGTTGCCATCAGTTGTTGGGGATAAGTGGGGGAGGGTGGTTATGCTTGCTTCCAACTACTGTGTTTGATCTTCATGCTCTGTCTCTTGGAACTTATTCTAAGTGTGCCAACATGAAGTGCCGCAGGGCCATGCCAATCCTTTGAAGTATCATGGTTATCAATGGCAATGAATCTGGGCACAGCTGACTGTTTACAAGTGATTTAATGTGGAACACAGCGTGAAAATGGCTGATACGCCTTTCCCAGAGAACCTTGCTCATTTGTCACTAACTTGGAGCTGACATGAGATCATTATAAAGCCATTTCAGAAAGGGCTCAATTTTCAAGCTCAGGTGCCTAAATAAGATGTCTAAACCAGTGTTTGGACAATTAAATTAGAGCTTGAGGTGGACATGTTAGCATCATGCACTATGATAAGGCCATGTACTTGCCAGTGCAGACCCCAATGCAGTTTGAGCAGTCTCATTTTGGAGACCTCCTTTGAATATTAGTTGCACTCTCACTATTAAGGGAAGATGAGCCATTTAAAAAAATTGAAGTTTATTTTATACAAATATTTCTGCAAATATCTTTTTTTTCTGTATAGTACAATGGCTGACTATTCAGATTATATGATTTCAAAAAAGCCAGAGAAAACAAAGTTCAACTTGGAAAATTCCATAGGCCAAACCGACAGGAAAGATCTACAAGGTGGTAAGTTTTTGAATGATATCTAAGATCTGATTTTAAAAGATAAATGGAATATGAAATTCTGCCTGTGTGATATGTTTATGCAGATGTAATTGTTGTGTGAGCACAGGGCTAGGAATTATGGCCTCAGCATTCTGGTCACAAATCTTCCACATATTTCTTATGTCACCTGTAGCAAGTCACTTATCTGTGCCTCAGTGTCATGTGGTTCGGCTTTTGGATACAAGAGGAGCCAGTAAAATCACCTCAGATAAACTCTTGTTAACTTTATTGTACACAGAATAGTGAAGGAAAGCAATGCTCATGCCGGGATGGGGAAGGAATCCGAGGCAAGGTTACACAGATCTATTTCAGTATACAGGATAGTTAGCACAGACAATAATATAGCACCTACACCTAGGGCAATACCCAAGATACTTAATTTTAAGGATAGGGATATACATGTACTTATTTCTATAAATTGTACACAGTTCCACCACTAAGACCCTTACGATTGTCAAATGATTGTCAGATGAGAGGTTGTGGCCTCATTGTTTCCCCATGCACAGAGGTGTCCACAATGCATCGGTCGGTAGGAACAGGCACAGCTTCTAGTTGCAGCGAGTAAGGTAGTGGGGACCCTTTACTCAATCCCTCCCACCGATTACCTTTTCTACATTTACTTTTATAGCCATAGCGAGACTTGCTCATCTAGTAAAATCTACCAATTAATTATGTATTGTATATGCCCCTCTTTTGGACACGTCCTGCCAGTCAAACTATACTATACTTAATTGACAGTTCTATGCCTGCATCAGTGATTTTTAGTCATTAGAATGGTTCTGTACCAGTACCAAGTTACTCCCAATGTTCTAGG